CTATTGTTCTTTCCGATGTCATTCTCTCCAAAGTCGATCGCCGTGTAAGTTCTCATTTCCCGAGAGATCTCATTTCTTCGATTGTTGTTTTTCCAGTTTCAGAATTATGCTGATGTGATCTACCTTTTGTTGCAGATTGATTTGACTTCACAGATTGTGCGCCTTACTTCCAAATTAAAGGTGCTTCGCTGATTTGCTTCTTCTTCTTCTTGTTTTTTTTTAAAGGATTTTGATGTTTGATGATGGTGTTTTCAGCTGGAAATAAGTTTCTTGGATTGCTTGGAAATGGTTATTGGCCTGTAAATCATTAGCTTGCATTTTTCTTACTCTTTTACCTTACTTTTTTAGGTGGAGAATGCTGGTCCCGGTCCTGTTTCTGAGATTTTGCTTACTTTTCCTGAGGTTCAGGCCAAGGATTTGGCATACTTGACAGCGGCACTTAATGAGGGGAAAGGAAAAGTGAGAAACTCAGGGAGTAGTCTCCCTATAAATGTTGTCAATCCAGAGGGAATGCCCCCTTCTCTGACTTGTCATTCAATATCGTTACCCAAGGCTTTGGCGGAGGGGGATAGTTTGACTATAGATGTCTTAGCAGTATTTACTCATGCATTACGGCCGTTTCCTGAAGAAATTACGCAAGCTGATATTCAGCTAGTTTTGTTCCAGGATACTGCTCACTATCTTTCCCCTTATGCGGTTAACGTTCAGTCCCTTACTGTTAAATTGCCCAAGGCTAGAATCGAGACGTATACGAAGTTGGAGAATACAAATGTACACGGCTCTGATATCAAATATGGTCCATATCAAAACCTGCCTCCCTTTTCGTATGCACCCGTAGCTGTTCACTTTGAAACCAATCAACCATTTGCTGTTGCTCAAGAGTTGGTGAGAGAGATAGAAATTTCCCACTGGGGCAATGTGCAAGTTACTGAACATTACAACATTGTCCATGGAGGTGCTAAAAGCAAGGGTGAATTTTCCAGGTCAGTTTTTTTATTCTTTTCGTGTTATTATTATGGTGGTGACTGGTATCGTATTCAAATTTTGATTCTTAAAATCCTGCAGGCTTGACTTTCAGGCTAGACCACACCTTCGAGGTGCATCAGCCTTCAGGAATCTTGTTGCAAAATTGCCGCCAAGGGCTCATTCCATTTATTATAGGGATGAGATTGGAAATATATCAACATCTAATATTTGGGGTGATCCTAAGAAGGTGGACATTTTGATTGATTCAAAATTTTTTTGACAATTAGAATAATTGCTTACGTTGCTAATTCAAGTCTTCTCCTTAATTGCAGACAGAACTATTGATTGAACCTAGATATCCATTGTTTGGAGGTTGGAGAACTACTTTTACTATTGGATATGGCTTGCCACTTCAAGATTTTTTATTTGAGTCAGAGGGAAAACGTTTCATTAACTTCTCTTTTGGCTCCCCTATAAATGATTTGGTCATTGATAATATCATTGTGAAGGTTAGTTCAGTGGAAAACGTTTCCCACAAGAATTTTTTCTTTACGTGGTCTTGACTTTGTTTTCTTGTTGCAGGTTGTTTTGCCAGAGGGATCAAATGATATATTTACTTCTACCCCATTTCCGGCAAAACAAGGACAAGAGGTATTATAGAGCTAAGATTTATACTGTATTGTATTCTTATTTCTTATAGCTGTTTTCTTTTTCCTTGGGCATGTTTTCTTCTCTACTTCAAAAGACTGAGGCTATCTACCTTCATTTGATTGTCTTTATCTTTGTGATCTAATGCAGACCAAAATTTCTCACTTAGATGTTGTTGGGAGACCAGTTGTTGTGCTGGAAAAGACCAATGTTGTTCCTGAACATAACCAGTATTTCCAGGTACTTCTATGGACTCTTTCAATATGTACGAGCAGCATTGAAGTGCTAAAGTGTGAACTAAGGCCATTTTTACTACTGTCTACCAAACTTAACGTTATTATGCTAATTATTGAATATCAAGTGAGGGACTAGCTGAAGACTAGAAAGTTCAACACAAATGGTAACGAGAGGGGTATTGATCCATCTATAGTGTATTAAAAGGCATGGAGGAATGCTTTTGCTATATGTAATTTGGCTTGGTTATGAGGGTGCTTGATTAATTCTTGTACAATTGTAGGATTGTTTTTGTGTTCGAAACATGTGCTTGTGCTCCAATTATTTAGACATATTTCAACAATTTGGAAAAGGCAGATGATATGTTAATCTTGTTGTAATTGAACAATAGCCTACTTGTAGTGTAAGGCCTACTGTATATTAATAGATTTAACAGATTCATTGATATTTCCTCCTTTTATAGTTGTTTTGCTATTTTTTGGAGAAGTTACGGGACTGAAAAGTGATGGTCTAAGGGTCTGTCTGGGAAAGCTGTAGCTGTGGCTTTTGAAAAGCTACAAATTGTAGCTTCTAAAAATAATACATAGAAAGGATTGTGATATTAGCTTCTAAAGTATTACCAAACACTTAGAAGCCACAGCCACAACTAAAAGTCACAGCCAAAGGTGATTCCCAAACAGCCACTTAATGTGGCAAGAAATTGTAGCCGTTACTGTTTTCTTGTGTGTAAGGTGGTGCATGAGGGAGGGCAAACGTCGGGGTTTCCCGTCCTTTGAGACTGACTGAGTTTCTAAATTTCCATTAAGCTGAAGTGCAGGACCTAGATTTCTTAGATCACTTCGTGATGGAACTTGGTTTTCCTTGTATTTGATGTACTCAACAATTGAATGTATCCTTCTGTGGATCCAAGAAAAATTAGAAACAAAAGTAGCTTCTGATTTTGGTGCAGTGCAGTGTATTGAAGACTATTTTGAAAATAACCCGGTTTGTATTGCAGGTCTATTACAGGTTCAGCAGCCTTTCAATGCTTAGGGAGCCATTTATGTTAATTTCTGGATTCTTCTTCATTTTTGTTGCTTGCATTGTATACATGCATGTAGACATGTCAATCTCGAAGACCTCTGCTTCTTATTTGGCAAAAATGCAGTGGGATGAGGTAAGTAGGATGTCATATGTTGTACCCTTTTCAGTTCAGTCTGGTGTAATTGTTTGCAAGTGAAAAAACCAACATATATAATAGAATTTGCGATTTCTGATTTCAGGTGCGGGCAACAATTCAGCAAGTCCAAAGTGTCATCAACCAATGCTTATATACGCATGAAAAGCTAGAAGCATCACTGCGTGATCTTTCTAGAACTGGGGATGTTCAAGCTTGTAAAACTGCTCGAAAGACAGCTGACAGTTTGTTGAATGAGTATTCCAAAGAGTTAAAGCCCTTGCTTTCATTCTTGCAATCTTCTCCTCAGGCTACTCAAATATTACCTAAGGTTTGTCGATCTACTCATCCTTTATCACCAATAGAGGATAAATTTGTGGAATTTATTCCGAGGACTTGACAGCATTTAACCATCACCAAGGACATGAATTGTTACACATGTCAAAACTTGAACGACGTACCATTATAATGTTCTGTTACCATCCTCACCTTCTGTTTTGCTGTGCTTCCACATTCCCGAATGTAATCAATGCTACTGGTTGTGTAGGTGGAGGAACTGGTGGCAAAGGAGAGGGAATTGCAAGAAAGGCTGATAGCGAAGCATTCAACCATAGTGGACTGCTATGAAAAGAAGATTGGAGGAAGGGAACTTGAGAATCGGGTTGCGTCGCAGCAACAGAAAGTTGTAGTTTTGAAGCAGGAGGTTGAAGACCTTCTTGATTACATTGAAGAGATATAGTTCAAGGTTTAGGTAGCCTGAGTATTGGGGTCAGAATTTGGTTATCTAAATACTAGATGAGCTAACTGCAATTTTCCACGGCAATAGTTCACCAAATATAACTTCTACATGATAATGATATTCGGAACTTCGAGCTTTATATGAACTAATCCTGATCTGCCTTGCATGTTGAATTTTGAGTCTGGCACTAGGGTCAGCTACGGTTATCAGGCAGAAATCATTTAAATTCTTTCTCAAAACTTCTCAAAAAAAGTTTTGTCGCATTTCAAATGCCAAAATCGTAGCCTAAGTTGCAATTTTCGACCCCTGTTACTGCATTACTATCTATTGATGATGCTCATCAGCTTATGCACCCGATATGCCATAATATAATTGATATTTTGCTTGTGTTCTTGAAAGAAGGAAAAGAAATCAAATCGCCATTGGCAGTCTTTACAATGCCTTTAAAATAATAATTAAAACCAAGAAAAGATGGGTGGAAAATTCTTGAGAAACTGAGCTGAAATGTAACACCTTTTTCTTGACAACTGGCCGACTGTTGCTACTCTGGATTTATTTGAACATGAAGGGAATGTGTTTCATCTTCCTTATTTACTGAATCTTTAGTGATTTGATCATAGGTTGGGAATGCGTTCCATCTCCTTATTTGTCTGAATCTTTAGTGATTTGATCATAGGTTGCCTGTTCGCTCGCGTGTGTGGGAGGGAGGGATTATTGGAAGCAATTACGGAAAGCATGACAACGTATATGCAAACCAAATGGAGGAAAAAATGCCGTAAGAACTTCCTGCTGCTCAACATGGCACTCTGACATTCTAAAGAAAACATGGAAAACCTTAATTTACGGATGAACAAGAGAAATGATCAAGATTTACATGGGAGAATTATGTTCTTGTCTTTGTTTTGGTCTGGATTTTGTGAAATCTTGATGATGATTAACAGTCCATTTGTCTAAGCTCTGTATTGAAGCCATGGTGATGACGATGACGGCCGCTGGAATCCGAAAATGGCTTACGGTTATAAAACTCCGTTAAACCCGCATCTCTCCATCCACTCCTGTCACTGGAACCACCATTTTGCCCCCACTTGGTTTTTGGTCCACTCTTCTGCCTTTTTCAATCAAATCTCAACCAACAACCAGATTCTTGGGTTCGACCGGGTTTTATAACTATACTGAAAATAACTAACTGCAAAGGAACTACTATGATGAATTCAATAATGGGCTTGCGAGAATTGTCTTCCACAAGGTTTACCAAATATAGGACTGAAATATTTGTATTAGTACAACTTGCTACACAAACAAAACTGTTGATGATGTTTTTGATTTCATCTACATGTCGTATGAGGTTCTGGGAACAAATTTTTGTTGCTCCAAATGTGTAGCAACAGCAATCCGAAACCAGCTATCATACCTATCTTTAGACTTAGGTTTTCTTGCTGCACAGACCACAGCAATGGTCATGCGAAAATAGGAGAAAAAAAAATTCTGTATTGCCACACCTAAAGTGACCTTGTCAGGAACGTAACAGCAGTATTGTGTGGTATTTCCACTGCTACTGTGTGGGTGTGGGGCCCTCGAGACAAATTTTGTCTTGCGGCTAACATAACCCATCCATAACCATGCTTAACTCAGTAGATCCCGTTGGACAAATGGGGAGCTGTTGTCACTAGGGCGATGCTGATGATTGACACTGAGTTCCACATCCACAGTTGCCGTGATGTTAGCTGTGTGTTGATCATGGGATGCTGCTTCTGCTTCAATATCAGAGAAATCTGGACCTTCAGAACCAAATTTATTAGGTCGAAGACGTGTGGGGGATGAGGAATGCACCGAGGCATCCGGACTTCCACCCAGAGTCATTGTCGGGAGCTGATCTGGTTTCCCTTCGTTCGTTTTCTTTACAGCCTTCTGATGCCAATTCTTTAGGGCCTTTGAAGTTTGTTGATCAAAGATTGAGCGCTTCATGGTTGATCCCATCTGAAAATTTCAGGCAGGAAAACTAACTTTCAATACTTTCATGCTGGAGCAGAGAATATGATATCCTGACAGGTCTCGGGAGTAGTTGCAGATGGAGCATATTGCTATGTTTTGTTTCACTTCTTAGTATTTCTTTCGATTTGCTTCCACATCTGTAAAATGTTTAACCTAACATGAAATTTGGAAAGAAAATGTGATAAATGAGTAATACCTGTGTAACAAGGGCATAGAGTGGAAGTGTGGCATAGCTGCACAGGACTTGGGCTCCCACGCTGAGAATTTGAGACTTCCATTTGGTCACTTTTTCAACAAATTAATACAAATTCTAAGTTCATAACGTTACAGTCAAGCTTTTCTACTTCAGCGTCGTATTCAGGATGATGTGGAGGCCTCTGGGGCTGATGTAAAAGAATATGCCTAGGTGCTTTAACATGACTTACCCGAAAGTAACTCTGACGAATATGAGGACTGTATCTTGATTCAAACAAGATTCCTTCCCGAACTCATACTGCAGAAGCAGGAAAATTAATCATAAAAATCCTTCTGTGATCAAAGACAAATACAGTGAGAAGAGGAGAACGACAGGCTATTACCCATGCCCAAAGGAAATATGTTAGCTCAAATGCATTCTAGACAGGAAGAAAACCAAAAAGCTCATTAGAAAAATACCGGAAATCGTAAGATAAAGATACAGGACCATAGAAATTTTTTCTCGAGTACCACTACTTTTATTTCAAAAGAGACAGGAGGGGATAAGAGAACTAAAATTTGCTGACAGAACTATCTGTCTCGAAGCAAAAGCTTCTCTACTCTGTCATGCAAAGAAAAGAAGGTGCCGTGTGAAACCTGAAAGAGGACAAAGTGGATGAGATAAAGGACTAATTCAGGCCAGGAAAACCAGAAATTTCCGTCAGACACTTGCACAAGTGGTATCCCTTGAACCACAGCATGCCTTTCTTTAATTTCAATAGCCATTTTTGCTATAATTGCTTGTAGTTTTGTTCCAACTGCTAAGGTGACCTTCAACAAAACCCATGGAAATATTAAATCTTTACCCAGTTAAAATAAAACAACAAGAGAAGACATGTCTTTTGTGAACAAATTTCTTACAAATAAAGGAAGAAAGGAAACACAGAACTGAGCCTTCCATCCTGAAAAGTACAAAACCAATAACTAATAGGAAGCCTTGGTTCAAGTTTGATGAAGACTACGAAATGGCTAAACTCAGAAAAGAAACAGGAAGGACTGACCATGAACGTTCGAGAGCAGATTGAGAATTGCAGAGGCCCATAGTAGTGGACTGCCAGGAATGTAAAGATAGTGAATTGGAAACTTACAGAAAGACAGTGGATATATGAAGCAATACTTGTGACTGCTATCTGGACAACTAAATTCGTATGTTGAATATAGTTTGACTGCTTTACCTGATTCCAACGACTACCTTGAAATCATCTTCTAATGTTTTTTTGATATACTTTTGAAAATTAAACTTGCTTCCAGGAGCTAGATGGACCTATAAAAAAACTCAATTTACTTGCCTATCATACTAATTCAAAATGATGGTTAAAACTTTTGCACCTGTTAGAGACTCACAGAAATGAATCCATGTCGCATGGTCAAGTAATCAGACTTTCGAACGGATCTGAAGAATTGTCGATAAAAGCATAGCTGGAAGGATTAAAAATTCAAGCACAGTTGTCAATACATAAGCTAAGAACATAGGACTGAAATTAAATTCAAATATTTCAATGTTAAAACACGACATTGATTCAAATTCTACTATGGTTAGGTCTATGAAAATGCAAGCATGGAGTTCAAAATTCAAAACTGATGCTAAAACGCCAACAATTTATCTAAGCGAACATGAATCATAAGAGAATCTGAGGTGAAAACAGTGACTTCTTTCTTACCGAATAAAAGAGGATTGGAGTTTTTGTCCAGAAACTTGTGTGTCCTCTCACGAATGATGTCTCATGAGTGAGCCTGAATCTTGCAGGATCTGAACAATCAGCACTAACCTCACTAAATGCACAGGTTAAGATCACCAAATTCTTGAAAAATAAACAATGCATGCCTCAATATGAAGAATGGAGAACACGTTATTAGCATCTAGAATACCATTCATGGCATCATGCTCCCTCCAACTCTCGCGTTCCCAATCCTTCCAATTGCGTATCTGCATAGGTGGGGGACTATTATAGCTTAAGGTCATGGAATGGAAAAGAAACGAGGTTATCTCCAGCATGGAATGGAAAAGCATCAAAACCCAAACAAGTTGCTGTTCACTTTTCAGAGACCGGTCAGAATTTTCTGAAGATCTCATTCTCACCATGTCCCTTGCATCAGCTAATCAATGGCAAATCAAACTTCAAGGGACAAAAAAGAAGAGAAAAAAACCATTATAGAAACCCAAAATGTACTCCCTACCTTCAATTTTCCAAGCATCATTGTTATGGCACTGTATACGACATGAAATACTGCTAAAAAGAATATGAAGATGTGCAACTGATGCAGTCCCTCGACAGATATGAGAGGCACTGACCCCTAAAAACACAAATTGGCAACCATGAGTTACAGAATAGGATAAGAAAAGGCCAGCATAAGGTCACTTCATGAGTTATAGTTTCTAAACAACTTTGTATTATTCAAAAGGACTAAGGTTGCCTTTAGTTAGTGTTTCACGACAGAAGTGACAAGAACATATTGAGTTATAGGTACGGAGATGGAGACAAAAACACTGCCTAATTAACAAGGTTCAACTATTTGACGTTTCCTTGGAAACAAGGCATACTTACATCTTTGCAATCTTTACTTCCACTCTCACCAGCTAAAAATCTATGCTGCGACCATAAAAGCTTGCGATGATTCTCCCCTCCACTGTCATCTTGTCCTTTTTTACCCTTCGCCGGGCATGGTAACATTGTATTTGCATACCTCAAAGGAATACAGATACCAGCAATATAGCTTTGTGAGAATGTCAAGGTTAGAGATATGAATCCTAAAACCATAAGCTCTGCAAAATTTACCAGAAAAAACAGAAGAAAATATTAATGGTCCCTTGTAATTTCCTTTTTTTTTTTTGGTAATGTTCAACTAGAGAAACAAAAAGATTATAAAAAGAACTGATTAAAAAATGTTAGCATACCCCCTTTAACTTTCTCAAGAGCATCAAATAAAGCAGTGTTGTGTTTTTTTTGGAACCACTGAAATAAATAAAAAAAGAACTATTAGTTTACCGGAAAAAAAAAGGATCAGTCATGGAGGAAGAAGAAATGAAATGCATATTTTCTATCACGGAAATCAGAAAATAAATGCAAAACACAAATTGATTTACATAATGTTATGGAATGCAATCGAAATGAATTTTGCAGGCATCAAAATTAAAAAAGACAAAAAAAGTTAAACAAAAATAATTTATTTACCTGTCCAGTTCTATGAAGAACCTTCTCCAATATGATGGAGACAATAATCATGGCAGCACAAACTGCAGAGACTGCCCATGTCGGTGTCTGCTCGAGGTCTCTTGCACCCGGGGCTTCTCCACCAGCCATTTTCTTAAATTCTAATCTTGAAAGAAACAAAACTCAGACACAGAAACAAAATGCACGAAAATAAAGGATCCCTCTTGATTAAAACCTGTGAACATTAACTTGTAAGAAAAATGCAATGGTTTTCTGAGAGTTTCCTAGATTATTAATAACAACAATAATAATAATAATTCATTGGCTATTTCTCTGTTTTCTTTTCTTTTATTGAATTGAGAATTTATGGTGGTTATTATTATTCAATATTTCTTTGCTTGCACTCCTCTTTTCTCCTTTTCGGCCTTAGGTTATCCCATAAATATCACGAGTGTGTAAATATAGTATATTATAAAAATAAAATAGGAAAAACAAAATGTATTTTCAGGCACTACATTGCTAATTTAAAAGGGAAATTTTTGCACGAATAGGCCAACAAAAAGCTATTAATAAACATCCCTCCTATTGTTGCCATCACTGTTTCCCAAGCAGAGGTAGTGTTCGTTCGGTCTAAAAGTTGTGTTTGGTTAGAGACGCCAAGATCATCATGTAGAGGATCCGTGAGGATGTAGTGACTGAAATCCTTTCATGTTTTTCATACAAATCTGTTGTCCTTAGCAAGCACTGGAATCAACTTGTGTCAGATCCTAGGTTTGATACAATTCATTCTCTTCTTTCCTGAGCTACATGGCTTTCTTTCTCTAAGTTCTGGATCCTTACAAGGTTTACTACTGTTCTGTTTCACGACCAAAAAGTCCATAAGATAATCAAGCCTAAACAATCCCACAGGAAGTACAGGGCCATCTCCCGAAAAAGATTTCTTGAAACAAACATTTTGTTAGCAGAAAAGATTTCTGCTATTCCAGGTGACAAGTGGAATCTGGGTGTGGCTTGTCCGAGTTTATATATAGAGCTCAAATCTTGGTTTCAGGATAAGAAACTCATCTTTTTCGGATACAAAATTAGGGTCCAAGTAAGTGGAGAAATCCTAACTTCGAACTGACATGTGCAGCTGATCGATTTTGTAAAGCCAAAGAATCCAGTAGTGGGCTTGGATAAATGTTCCGGTGACATTATTTTGCATTTGATGTACCGTTGTTATGCCTCCAGGATTGAAAGACCAAGATAATGAAGGAGAGTCTAAGCCAGATGAAGGAGAGTTGCACGGGTGCAATGTGAAGCCAGAGAAATCGAAGAAAACTGGCACGCCACCAGGTATAACGATGGTGCCGATCAAGATTCAAAAGCTGATGCCATGGATTGTGCATTTGAAAACTTTGGCATCATCAAATACTTGTGTTTGCATCCCTGCCTTAGCTCCTCTCAGAAGCAGTAATCCTTCTATGTATTCGTGCGCACAATGTGAGGAGGTCGTCTTGAGCAAGAACTTGGCTTCATTGTCCAGGCAGAAGTAGAGTGCTTGTCGCTTGTAAAGACTAATTTGCTACCTTCCTTATAAATTATTTTGAAGTTGAATAGTTAGCTCATATTCTACAGTGATTTACATTCTATACAAAGTAATTTGCAAGTTTGAGTTCCGATTGAAGAGCTGAGTCCCATTTTTGTTAGTTCTAAGATCCCTAGTCTTAGTGATCACTTCTTTTCTTTTTTTCTTTTTTTTTTTTCAATTTGTATAAGAAAAGGCAACGAACTTAAAATACTAGCTTGTTTTATGGCTATAGTAATTAATAATTATTGTTTTAAATTCATTTTTTTTCTTTTTTCTTGTAAATAAATTAATTAAAATCAGATTTTTTATATTTAATGTGATCCTCCATCCAATCAGATTAGGAATAGAAATAAAAACGGAATATTTTTCTTTTTGAAAAATAAGTTGTGCTCAGATTCTTGCCAATCGATGATCAATTCCAACATCTAGTTGGGATCACTGTTCCAAAGAATAATTAATAAATTGATAGAGATTTCATATCAATGGAAAGCCTCCCTAATCTCCATAAAACAGTAAATACACAAGAATTACAAACAGATCCTGTGTAACAATAATTTTCTAAATATTCTTTATCAGCCAAGCAATTAAATATTCAGTTTACCAAGAGATACTATATAAGAACAGTTTTCTAAATATTCTTCATCACCCAAGCAATTAGAGTTTCAAATATGAGAGAATTTAGAGTAAATCGGGAACCACATTCTTTAATAATATTGTCGTTGTAGTATAATGGTGAGTGTTCTAGCCTTTCTCCAGTGATGTTCGATCCCCGTTAACGGCGACTTTAGTTTCATATTTCTCTTCCCTCCTGCTTTTTCATTTTGGAAAATGATGCCTAGAAAAGATTGACTTAGTTTACCTCCATTAGCCTTGGCCATGCCCATTTTCATCCAAAGCAGGAATGCTTGATCATTATCCGCCCATTCAGTCAAGACAAAAACTTGTGAATGCCATTATAAATAATCATAGAGTAGACACAAGTTATCAGCAATCAATTTATGTTGCTGTAAACCCTATGTCTTTTGGCGATTGCATTAATTATGGAGGTTAGCAAGAGCAGAGTATCAAAAATACTGCACAGGAAAGGAAAGTGGGAAAGTTACTGTAAAGAACCTAATTCTATGCGTCTGGAAAAACAAATCACTGTTCTCTCATTCTCTAAGGAGACCTAGATGAATACAGGTTTTGTTGGGAATCGCTTGGGACAAACACAGGAAGTTGGCCACCCCTTTGTGATCTGCCCTGCTGAAAATGACTTGAGGTAGATCCTCTATCCTGGCTCAAAGCCAGTGAACTACCAGGCCTCCCTCTGCTTAGCTGCTCATTGACGAGGGGACCACCAAAAAATATAGATTGATCTGTGTACAAAAGCTCTGTTCCCCGAACCTGGGATGAAGAACCAGCACCTCTTGTAGAAGAGACAAAGCGTCCAGCTTCTGGATCCCAGTAAACAGTTGTTCTCATATTCTCTGCTGCACGTAAGTTTCTTCTCATGGGATTTTGGGCCGCATTCTCATGAGAAGGATTCCCATTTACTTCACTTTGTCTTGCTGACCAAGGAGATTCATCTGCTGAGGTTTGATAGATGGGGTTGAAGTGGTCTCTGTTTGAAGTATGCTGCTGTATTGGAGAAGCAGCAAGGTTGGAGACATTAGCACTGCTAAAATTGCCAAGACTCTGATGCCATGATCCAATGTCATCCCTGCTAGCATGACTAGCATTGCTGGCTGGATATGAGTTAGTCCTGGAAGGAGATGGACCTGTCACCACTGCTCTATCGTTTCTATTTTGAAATCCTTGATCAGTACTGATCGGACTGCTCCTTCCACTAAAATTGCTACTGGACAACTGATCAGCATCATATGGGTTATATCGAGAACCTATGGGACGTAGCACGGATGATGATGCTCTAGCCTTTGCAGCTGCTTTAATAGCCTCACTGGAATCCAATTTAGCAAGTTTCCATGCACTGATTCGAACTGGACGCTGTGGTAACTTTTTGGCTTTGTCAGCTTCCTGTATTGCATCTGGATCAACTGTGGATGGTAAGCGTCCTCTCTCCAAATGTGGAATAATTTCATCCTGCTCATTGACAACCCAAAGCTAATCAAATCCCAATCTCATTGTTAAAGGTTATGAGAAGGGAACACAAAATACCAAAGGAAACAATTACTACAAGCAGTGCACAAAGCAAATTGTAACAAAAAAAGAAGCAAATTCTACCCTTATTCTGTTCTAAGTTCTTCAATAATGGAGTAAAATAATGACTACTAATTGTAGTTGAAATCTTCCTTTTCAAAGACAATTCTTGCAGTCATAATCTCACGCAGTAGTTATGAGAAAAGAGAAGAATCAAGCTACGCTTAAGTCTTAAGTCCAACATAGGCAACACAAACTTTTCACAGTAACTTCATTTGGATGGAAGTGGTACCTGGTGGTCCATGAAGATTCTTGGAGGTGTACACCAAGCACCTTTAAATTGCAAACTCATTCCTATAGAGCTTCTTCCGCTCACTGCAGTAACAGCTGAACTGGTTGGTGAAGATGGCAGACTTTGCTGCTCTCCTCCATCTACAGATGGTCCAGGTGGTTCACTCTGAGTTCTCATGGCAACTACATACTCATATGTTGTGATACCCTGCAACAATAAAAAAAATTCACCAATTGCACATTACAGCGGAGGCAAACATGGTAAGAGAGGAGGCAAGGCTATTTATGAACGCACCTTTCGAATCAGAATCAAGTGGAAAAAAAATAGTTCCCCCAGAGGCACGGTGGCAAGCAAAGATAGGAATGTGCACAGGGCCTGGATCCATTGTTAAGTTAACATTATAGAATACAATAGTATAGCATTAACAAAGAGAAACTTTATTGTGGTAAAAGCCACAGCATACTCCAGTCCCATCCAAATCATACATGTATCTACAGAAATGTGCATAACAACAAAAAAACAACTCAATGTTACCAAAACAAAAATTCCACAATTAAGATCATTGTAAAGTTTTCATGCGTAATATACTAGAGTAGCAGTATGAACTTAGCATCTGTAAGGACCAATTTATCATTTCTTCAACAAAACCCACACCGATGATAATTTTCTGCATTCTGTGTCCTGTTATAAATAATAACAATAAGAAATGCACATTTATCTCTAACCTGATATGTTGATCACACAAGTAACAACAACCAGACAATGATTGTTTATAAAATTTGAAGTACCTTTCCAATAACCATAATCAAAATACTATGTTTATGTAAACATCTTGTATAAATCAACAGAGAAATTGGGAAGCATACCACTACTGTTGCAAAAGGGGGGCGTGAGAATCCAATGCCAAGTTTCTCCACTATTTGATGATCCATGGCCTTTCTATCTACAAAGCATCTAACAAGTACAGCAACACCAACTCCGAATTCAACAACAAGCTGACAGACAGACACAAAGGTAAACAAAGATGAGAAAGCATATTTTGTTCAGATCTGGTGAAGGTATCTGATGCAAGAGAATTATAATGCAAGAAAAATAAGAAACAAATAACAATCTAAATCGTAAATTTTACCCAGACAAGGCTTGTTGCCATAAGGGAAACAAATGTGATGTAGTTTTTCCTCCCTACACAATTGTTCAACCACTGCATCATAGAACAGATATTTCATAAAGCCCAATATTGCTTAGTGGATAGGAAACAACAAGGTAAACATCTAAAACTCACACGACAGTGATGATCAAATCCATCAACACATTTGTCACAAC